GAGATGAAGAAGAGGTGGGTGGTAATTGGTGTTAGCAGTTATAATCTGAGAACACCGGTTTATTAAACAAATTATATATATTAACATATTTAATGATCTATTTAAGAAAACTAAATATTATATTATTTAAATTATTTATAATACTCAATCAAACAATAAATACAAAAAATATATATATAAGTATCAATCTTACAAAATTACTAAATAATATCTAGTTTAGGAGATGGTAAATTAAAAAACGCAAATTTATTCCAAGAATAAAAGTCTCAAATTGACTTTAATCATTTGAAAAAAAATACTTTCTCTGTCTCAAATAAAATGTCAACTTTTTTATTTTTTGCCGTCTCAAAATAAATGTTCCATTCGAAAGGTTAAAATACTATTTTTGTAACATTACTAATTTAATCTTCATACATTGAACTTAAAAAGTAAACAATCACCCACTATAGTCATATTTGGTAATTAATTCATTCACTACTAATACAATAAAAAAAATATTAAAATTCATCATCTTACAAAGTTATATTCCTGAAAAGGGATATTTAATTTGAGACGGAGTAACAGTTAAGAAGCTAATGTATATTTTTGTTAGGACTTATATTAAAATTACCTCATTGTTCATAGGAATTTATTTTAAAGAGTTACACGCATAAATAAATATAAACGACTAAATTTTTCAATCCTGATACGACATGATTAATTAAATAAGTTAATCATATTAACTTATTTACAATCCAAATCCAATTAAAATCATCTCAAATTTATTTATCTTGTGTCATGATTCATGAATGACGTCCAACTTTGCCACCCAAGAGGTGAAATTAAGTTACATTTGGTCCTTACAATTTGAGAAAACCTAACTGGTGGACCACTTTATGAATATTGAGTTTGAAAATATATAAAAATAAAAAATAAAATGAAGCTGCTATAAAATAGCTCAATTTAGACTTTCTTTTCTTTTCTTTTTTTAAGGGAACTTTGAATACATGTCCCTACTTATGATTTTTATTGTTTTTTTGGTACTTATGTATAAAATACTTTTTAGGCTATAAATACTTTTATATTTAAAAATATATAAAAATCATGACACTATTATAAGGGAAAAAAAAAAATGACACTATTATAAAGAAAATATATATAGTATTTTTATTTAATCTTATTTTAATACAATATTTTTTTTTGGATTGGTAAATTAGTTTTATGTTGTGTTTGGTAGGTAAGAAGGAAGAATGAGGGGTAGAGAGAAAATAAAAATGAATGAATGAATGAACTTTATTTATTCGGTAAATATGATACAAGGAATGAAAGGAAAATAAGAAGCATGACCCATCCTTTATCCTTTATGTATTTTCATTCGTCAAAAAATGCGTGAAACAAAAAAAGACGAAAAACAAGTGGGCTATTATAGAAATTTTAAATTACAGTGTTATCATTTATAAATTATAATATTACAAATATTATTGAATATAATGGTAAAAATAATTAAAACTTTTTATTTCCTCTCCCAAAACGAACATAGTAAATTATGAACTTATTATCTTGTCTTCTATCCAACCGAATAAAAAGAAAAAAATACATAATTTTTTCTATAGGGATGTTTCATCCATCTTTTATTCTCTCCCTTCCATCTAAGGATATCTCATCCATCCCTCCTTCTCTTCTTTTCATCTTATTTTTTTTATTTCTTACTGATAACTTACTTTATATATTATACGGAGTACTTACATAACAAACAGACATATTCCAAGTAACTTTAAGGTAGTAGTAAATTAATTATAATTAATAAAAATTAATCTTTGCATATACGGTAGTACTACCTTTGTTCCTTAATAATAGTCCAATTTTTCATTTCACATTTTTTAAAACAACAACTTTCATTATATTTTATTGGGTTGGCAAAAAATGCATGTCCAAGTTTGCCCTTCCCTAAAAAGTATAATATTGATTTTTTATGGGGTTTACTTATTTTTGAGTTTCAAAAGTAGTAATATAAAAAATGGGGTTCACTTTCTTTTTGGTAAATTAAAAATGTAATAAAAAATAATGTATTAATTTTTAAAATGTGACAACTAAAATGAGACAGTAAAAAAATTAAGATAATGGACTATAAATATGAAAGGAGGGAGTACCATATAAAAAAAAACATTGACGGTTGATAGTTTTTGTAGTGGGTGGGACCTATAAGGATGATAATACTACACCAATTGAGACTGTCAATTCTGGGTATTTTTCTGTCAAATTATTACTGCATACTCTGACAATACCAGAGGAAAACAATGCTATCAATACCACTTGCTTTAATAGTCTATTTTATATTTTCTATTTTCAAATTTATTTATTTAAAATTATTTTTTCATTTGTGGATCGGCTTTTGGTTTCACGGACGTATGATTTATTAATCACGTAAAAGAATCACCCAGAACGTGAAAAATGAAAAAGTCAAATCTGAACAATATCAAGTACTACAGTAAAAAAGAAAAAGAAAAAGTAACTTGGTTTAGTTAGTAGATTAACTATATACATTGGAACAAGCAATAAAATATAATAAAAAATTGGTTTAGTGATGATAACGCAGTGAAAACCGAAAATTTACATAAAATAGTAGTATTAAAAATTAAGCATATCTTTAATAAACGGAACACACAATGAATAATGTAATGTATGTGTAAATTGCTAGGTACCGTTATATGAATCTATAACTAGGGTTGTCAAAGTTCATTTAATATTGCAGTGAAACAGTGAACGTAGCCATTGTGCTCTGACACAAGTCATTGATATCGTTACAATATTGTTATTAAATATATTTCTTTGTTTTTGTCAAAGAAACTTTTACACGAGATCGATTAAACAAAAGTTTGCAGTGTCTTGTATTACTAAATGTAAGGTCTACATGGTTAATTGTAATCCATCCTAATTCGTTAAGCTATTAAATTGGCTAACACCCAATCATGTGAGGTTTATATGGTCAATTGTAATGTACTTTGCGAATTTCATTTGAATTCAATATGTGTTTATTCGGGTGATAGTTTGGGTGAGTCACCAAATTAAGGATTGGGTTTGATTTTGATACCAATTGTAACGGGTGGGTGTTTGCGATATGATCCAAAAGTTTAAATTATTAAGTGGGCCTAACACCCAACTCATTTATACTTAAGAGTGGACAAATAATTCGTAAATTTGAAAACCCAATTCGATCTATACCTACAAATCAGTGATGAATTCAAAAAAATCGAATCCACAGCCATTATTACTCTTACACAAGAGTCATTGATATGGTTACAATATTGTTATTAAATATATTTCTTTGTTTTTGTCAAAGTAACTTTCCCATGAGATCAATTAAACCAAAGTTTGCAGCCTTGTATTACTAAATAGTAAATGTAATGTCTATATGGTTAAGGCTAATTGTAATCCTACTTAATAGGTTAAGTGTAACGGGTAAACACTTACTTATTTATCAAAAAACTCAAGTTGTTGGGTAGTATTGCATATTCACCCATTTATACTCAATCACTCTCCCATCCGAATCTAATGTGAGACAAATGACTCTTGTAACATTCTCCCCCACCTGAACTCACAACGCCTTCGTTGTAGTCGGGCTACCCTGTTTACCCTGGTGAGTCACCCTGACGCCTTCCAGAGCGGGCTCTTGGTGTGACATCGAACCAATGATTGAGTCTGGCTCTTATACCAACTGTAACAAGTTGGCAATTGTCAATTTGTACAACTCAAGCTGTTGGGTAGTGCTGCATACCGATGTAAGACAAATGTAACATTAAGATATTAGGTGGGTTAACACCCAATCATGTAAGGTCTATACGGTAAATTGTAACGATACTTCGTGAATCCTATTCAAATCCAATGTGGGACAAGTCAGCTACCCTGTCTATTCGGATGAGCCACCGGATCAAGTACTGAGTCTAAACCTGATACCAATTGTAACTGGTGGGTACTTTGCAACCTGATCCAAAAGCTTAAGGTATGAGGTGAGGTTAACATCCAACTCATTTATACCAATTTCACTTTTCATTCGAATTCGATGTGAAACAAATTTTCTTTTATAACTTTAATACAGAAGCTCCAAGATTGTCATATTAACTAATTTTTTTAAACCACCGTTAGCAGTTGCATATGGTGCCCAATGCACAATTATATATTAATTTGAACTATTAAATTTAGTGCATTTTTTGGCCATGACCTAAGGTCCAAAAGGTCTTATTAATTAAAGTTGTTTTTTTAAACACTCAGCACACAAGAAGAAGCAAAAAAAAATTAATTTGGATATACTGGTTTGAAAAAGACCGAATAATTTGACCGAATGATACATTTCAATAGGGTATATTTATTGTTCTTGAAGAATTTTCTTACTTTGAAAAGGATGTATTGAGATTTCTTTCGATATTTTCTCCCTCAAATTGTTCAAGAGCTAACAATGTGTAGATTCATGTGAAAGTGTTCCAATGATTGCCTTTTCTTTTTAATTTTAATTTCTTAAATTTATATAACCTTGTAAGAGATAAACGGGTGTGATCAGTTTTTATTTTATCTTATGTGTGAGACATTGATTATAACACTTCAAGAGTCTTTTGTTGAATTCTAATATTAAAGTCTCTAAATTTAATATTATTTTTTGGACCTAATTAAACTAAATATCCTAAATCGTAGTCTTTCAAAAACTTAATTATTCATAAATTTGAGTATAATTTTTTTATAAAAAAAAACTTTTAATTCAAATTTTTTTTTAAAAAAAAACTTTTAATTCAATAATTTTTTACACATTATTTAGAAAGTTATTTTTGAAAATTTCAAAAGAGATAAGCAGCTGAGACAACTTTTTATGTCTATAACAATTGTCACAACCAATTAGGACATTGTCTCACGCGACCTATAGTCGCGTGAGAATAAAACGCCGCCCATTATATATAGATATATACTTGGGACTGTTGGACACAGAAACACCCTCTCTCTCTCTCTCTCTCTCTCTCATAGTTGTAGTTTTACCATAGCTTAATTTCCACAGAGAGAGAAATAGAAATATGACCCAAATGGGACTCCCCTGGTGGCCAAAGAACAGTACTACTACTCCGACCACCAATTGCGGTGGTCCTACTGGTGGCGCCCCCACCACCACCACCTCCACCTCCAACCCATCATGTTGCTGCCTGTCGAAACTGGTGAAAAAGCTGAAGAAACACAGCCGAATGCTGCGCAAAACGACCCGGCAATCGTCGTTTCAATGCCGGTACGACCCGCTCAGCTATTCTCTCAACTTCGACACTAGGAGTGGGTGTGGAAGCTTGTTAGACGATGAAGATTACTACCGGTTCTATGCCTTCACTTCGAGGTTCGTAGCCAACCCAAGAACTGCTACTTGTCCCAGATTGGTGGCCTCTGTTCATTAGATCCATCAAATGTTGTACTAGAAAATTAACTCTACAAATATATAGTTAATGAGATTTTGTTCTTTTTTTTTTAGTTAATTAGATTTGTTCCGCTTAATTATTTTTGTTCAAGTCTATGTTGTCGCTTCAAGTTTAGTAAACTTTAGTTTCATTAATGTCTAATATATACATTATTGATCACATCATAAGTTTTGGAGATTATTTTTAGATCCATATATATAAAGTCCAGTTTCAATTAGATGTGCTGGTTTTACTCAATTTTTTGAAATTATTATATGATCGGGACTATATTATCTCGTGTAGGGTTGTGGACTTGTGAGTAGCTTCACCATATAATAATTTATAATTTAATTTAAATAAATTATTTTCACCTTTACTAAGATAAAGGATAGATTACATACTGATAGAATGTCAACTGTTTTGTTAAAGTTTTTTTTAAAACTTCGTAGGAATTCTAAAGTAAAATTGAGCGAGAAAAAGTCAATAATATTTTTATATTATGATATATTATATTAGGGACAAGAAAATATTCTTAAAGTCTATTGTGCGTAGTATTTTTATTCTTTATTTAAAAAGTGTATAAAAAACACTCTTAATCTTTTTACATTTTACAAAAATACCTTTCAATAAGAAAATATTCAAAGGAAAATATATGCTACTAATCTCCTAACATAATATTGTTATGTACACATTTCATACCAACACTGTTAAACAAAAATATATTAAAAAAAAAAAAAAAAATCTCAATATTAGTGTGCACTGGTTTCGAAGTTTGGAACAGATTTTTACATTTTATTTTTGATTTTTATTTTTATCTTTACTTTTTTTTTATACTTTTATTTTTTTTTATTTTTTATTTTTATTATAGCATGATTTTTAATCATTTTATAAAATAATTCGGTAAGAATAATTTAGTCAATTTAGTGTTTAAATTCTTCAGAGATCTATTTATACAAAATTAAAACTTTAAAAATATTTTTTTACACATGAATAAACATATTTTATAAGTATTTTTTACCCTTAATTTAGTTATTTTATATCATTTTATAAAATTTAGTCATTAAGAAAATGTTAAATATGTTATTGAATACGGCCAAATTTCAGAAAGGTAGAGCTCAGAAGTTATAAATCTTAATGGGTTTACCTAGGTATAATTTGTCAAAAGTATATAGGTGTATATACACACACTCATAGTGTGTGTGTCACTGTGTGAGAGAGAGAGAGAGAGAGAGAGTGAGAGGCACGGGGAGACAGAGATTCTTACGAGAGTGATGGGTATGGGTTAAAATTTACTTTTGGTGATGGTCTGATTTGATGCTTTACTTCAACCCCACTTTTAGTTTCACACAGCGACAGTTGATAGTAAAGCAGAACTACTTTTATACAGTAACATAGGGTACGATTTCAAGTGGATATTATTCTCCAACCCTCCCTCTTTAAATTCCAATATTACCGTCAGATTTTAAGGACTCTACTGAATGGAATGTTATATCGTCTGAGGGCTTTTTAGTAATATCACGTCAATCCATTACACCAGTCACATTCCTAGCTAACAATGGAGGCTCGTGTAATTTTCGGAATACTCAGCCTTTCAAGCCCATTTTGAATAGACAATTCATGGGTAGGGCCCACTAAATTAGACAGCTAACAAGGTTTGTTTTTTTTTTTTTTGACAAGTATAATTGTCATATAATTTACCAAGTTATAATAAACTGATTTATAAATTTCATTAAATTCCACCTCATCCAATTTGAAAACACTATATTTTGAGAATTGTGAAATCCTTCATTTAAATTTTTTTTTTTTTTTTTGTTGTATTCGGCTGTATATGAAATTGAAACTTTGAAATTAGTGAAATTTGGAAAAAATTTGATTTAATTTTTTTAGTTATTTTTATCAAATTTCACAATTTAAAATATTTTAATTTCATGTAACCGAATACATCTTTAATTTGGAACACTATGGAACCAAATTCTTTTGGAATTTAGAATTAGAAATGGAGTAGAAATTGGATTTTAACTAATGGAATTCTATTTGCAGAATAAACATGAATGCATAGAAAGAAATTTGAAAAGAAATAAAGTTTCGGACAGTTCTAGAATGAGTTGTAAAGGTTAATTTTGGTAAGTTAAGTAATTAGTTTCCTAAATGAATAATGATAAGTAGTTTGAAAGTGATACACCTGCTCTTTGATGTGAAGGAAAATGATTTAATCATGATGTCATTAATTATGACAATGTTATTTTTTTATCAATATAAATTTAGTTGGATGTGTCTAACTTTCGGACTCGGTATTATTTTTCTTACTAAATATACCGTCAAATTTTCTCAATTTTTTTTGTTTGATGTGAATAGGAATGATTTCGTCATCAAATATGATTTCGTCATTTCTTACTCCCTTAAAAATTTTTAAGATTTCTCTAACTTATGGTGATGTATCCAACTGTTTTACGCGAATAAAAATGATTTCATCATGATGTCATTAAATATGATGACATTATTTCTTACTCACACAAATTTAATCGGATCCTCAACTTCTGTATCATTACTCTTACTAAATATACGGTCAAATTCCCTCAAAATTTTCAGAGTTTCTCTGCGTTATCATATTTCTTTTGGAATCCCGTTAAATCCCACCCGTTCCAAACATCTGAATTCCCTTTTCAAATCCAATTCCCATGAAATTCTCCACACACACACACACACACACAAAATATAAAAGGCTCTTTATATTGGGTAAAGGAATAAAGTATGAAGTGAATCCAAACAGAACCAATCTCCGGTTTTCATGAAATTATGTATGGGAGAGTAATTTTGGGACACTGAATGAAGACCAAACATGTATCTATACACATGCCATGAGAGATATATATTCCAAAAATATTGGCATGCATGTGAAAGTTCAATGTATACACATCTACAAACAATGTAATGTTTATTACTATGGATGTTTATGCTAATTGCTATGGTTAGGGGACAAAAGTCCGTTATTAATGGTGACAGATTGTTGTTGAAACATGGAATTCCTATTTCCTGTTTTTTTTTTTTTAAAAAATAAATTAAATGTGAATGAGAACTTAAAAATAGAAAAATGTCTCTAGAGTCTCGTATACGGATAATTTATATTACATTTTTGTGTATTTAATTTAATTGTACAATTATATTGAAGATGCAATAGTATTGCATGGATAACACAATTTGAATATAAATGTGTTACATTTTAAAAATAATATTAGTTATTTGCGATTTAACATATTACGTGAATGTTACATTATCAAAGTAAATATCTTATATCGAATACATTTTTGATGTAATGGTGCACAACAAAATACAGTGTGCTAAAATAAAATGGGCAATAGCCCAGCTGACAGGACCGACCTAAAATTAATGTGAGGGGGGATAATAATGATTTTTTAAAAATAATTTTAGGAGGCAATGGTAATATTTCATAAGTATATATATCAAAATGACAAAAATAGTGAGCATAATAGTGAAAAAAAATAAAAAATAAAAAAAATTCAATAGCAGTCTGTGCCTACCAGCTAATATAAGCTCTCCTCCCCGAAAGGAAAGATCCGATGTTCGAGTCTCTTTTAATTTAAAACGCTAATCAATATTTAATACTTAAAGTACGGTTATGTAATACTTTCGTCTTTCCTTTAATTATAAGAGATATAAAATTAGTATTAGAGAAAAGGAGGTAACAGTCCATTAATTACTTGGGTGGTTAAGATTTGACAGCATCATTAAATCTTATCTTTGTATTGAGGAGCGGACAGTTAACTTGTTTTGAACGAGATGACTCCGTTGCTTATGAATAAATTCATAGAAGAGTAAGATGTTTTTGCTAATCATTCCTGAGAAACAAACACTAATCATACTAGAAAATGATTGAAATTTTCGTATGAATAAATTCATGTCAGCGTAAGATGTTTGCTAATGATTCCTGAGAAACAAACACTAATCATACTACAAAATGACTGAAATTTTAGTGACAAATGCTAATGATTCGGGGTATGAGTGAAAGGTAAATAAATTGGTTGGTGACTTTGAGACGGAGTCTATAGTTCATGGTAACCTAATAATTGAGACTTACAAAAATAAAAATCAAGGAAATTTTATTAGAGTTTAATCAGGATATATTCGCCCAAAAGATAATAAGTAGTTCGAGAGTCCAATACATCGGATTTTTTTTTTATTGTGAGTGATGTCATCATCGTCCACTCACATAAATATAGCTCTCCATATAAATATAATCGAATGTGTGGACTTTGGAATTCTGTATCACAACTCATTTCAACCCTATTTGTTAATTTCTACACATGTTCTCAATTATCATTCAATGGTCGTAGTTTGTGAAGCCTTTAACCACCTCACTTGTCGTCATAGAGTCCCTTCTTCACCCTTGTAATGATAAATGTGAAGGAGCTCTCACTTCTTGAACCCTGCTTGCATTCTTTCTCCAGTCTCTCTTCCTTTCCTTTCTCCTCTCTTCATTATCCACTCTCATTCCCAAAATATGTGAAATGTTAGAAAACCGTTCTTAAGAATTCAGATAACCGAAAACGGTTTCAGTTCTTAGACTTTTTATAACTCAGTTTTCAAAAAATTGAACCAAGAAAAGTTTTTTTGTACAATTTTCTATTTTCAATTTTCTGAAAACAAAAACTGTTCTTAGAGTTATAGACCAAGCAGGCCCTAAAATCCTTTTTGTCCATTCTCTCTTCCTATCCTCTCTCTTCTTCATTATCCACACTCATTCCCGGAATCCGGAATCCGTTAATTCATTATCCACTCTCACTCCCGGAATCCATGAAATGTTAGAATCCTTTATGGAGCTCACCGGAAACCATGGAGGAGGTGCAGAATCTAATGACTGCTGGTTGACTATATATATACATGTAGCTTCCAAATAAAACACACACACTAATTTATCACTTGAAAGTGTATTTTGTGAAATTTATGGAGCAAACCTCAAAGATTCAAACTACATCACTTTCTCATCAACATAACACTAGGCAACTCATAGGGTGAAAATTGCTGTGTGTGTGAGTAAAAAATGACATTTTTTCAGTAAAAAAACTTTTACCCTAATGGTTCAAAAAAGATAACTGAGAAGTGTTTCTAAACAATCCCAGTATTTGAGAAGATTTGGTACGCTGACCAGTGGCTACATGAACTATTTTCATTTTACACCAAGGTACAAATTTCATTAGGCCTTCATCAAAATTTCAGTTTTTCCCAAAGTCTTGACTACTAACAAAAATAACAAGCATGTATAAAAAACTGTGAATGAAGACACCAAGGGTATAAAATTAAGGATCAATTGAAGACCACAAACATAATCTATTGATCTTACTGATCAAATTCAAAAAAAATCATACATAGAATACCTGCCCAACGTTCAACAGGCTTTCATGAGGAACATTGAAAATCACACTGTTATCCCTGCATATTTTCCTAAGAAATGCATATATATAATCAACCGCTATCTTCTTATAAATACTCGAATCCCTCCTTGCTCTCACCACTGTGTTTCCTAATATATGCACCACCCCAGCATCTCTACAGTTCGTCAAGAACTCCATCTCATCGACGTCTGTATGGCTGCTTCCTTGCTCCAACGACGATACAGTATTATTAGCCTGGATGGGAGATTTACAAGGCACAATAGTGTCTATTGTCGAAATCGTCTGGTTCACGTTGGAGGAAGATGTGGTGGTGTTGTTATCTTTTAACAGAAGTTCTCTCGACTGCAGAGTTTGCTGACCATATATACTATACTCCTCCGAGTCAGAACACCCTTCCATCATGGATTCAAGCCGGACAAACATGAAGAGGTTATCAAAGAGCTTTGTCTCAAAATCATCATCCTTCTTGTGGATATCTTTGTAACCATATCTTGCAACGCAACGGAACATGTGAAAATTCTTGGGTCCAATCCGTTTTACAAGGAATCTCTCTTCTTCTGGGACGGTGTAAACAGGAAGGTACTTCACACATACAAATACGACGACAGAATGGATAGCTGGTAGGTTTGTGATGAAGTGGGAAAAGATGTGAGGCACCCCTCTTGGTAGCTCAGTGTACACAAGTCCTATACCGGGAACACGAACCAGTCCCAAACTCGGACCGAGCCCAAGAAGCCATGCCATTGATACCTTACTGTGCATCTCAAACTCATAGCGTTTCACTGTACCATAATGCCAGACGGTCATGATGATAAGAAAGGCTGCTGCAATCACAAGAGGAACCCACCCACCCTGGTCAACCTTGAAAAGGACAGCTGAGAAGTAAGTCAACTCCACTAACAGTGATAAGGCAGTGAAGATGAGGACAAGAAACCAATGGCAGCGCCATACTATCGACATGATCAAAATCATGAGGAATGTGGTTGCCAACATGACTATAACAACAGCTGTTCCTGTTGTAACATAAAATTTACTGCTATTACTTGCAATTTTAGCATCAGTAAAGCTGCTAGCATGGTATCATAAATTCATGAGGAAAATAATATATAAAGGTGCGAGCCAAGGAATGTGTCTTGTTATTCTTATAGCATGATTGACCCATGAATCGTGAACGCTTGCTTCTCAGCAGTTACCAGAAACCATCCAGGCCAATAGATTGGTTATCACGAGAGAAACAGAAGTATAAAATAGAGCAAGTCATGTAATAGTGTTATGCATAAGTAGCAATGAGTCTACAGATATTTAGCTATTTACCTCCATAACAAATGCAAGAGAAGCCCTTGAAATGATACATGAACGTAAAAAAATATATAATTACTTGAAAGATGATTCCTTAGCAATATTCTTTTTGCTTCCAAAACGATAAAAATCAAATTAAACCAGCTCAAAGACTTCATGCTAACTTGCACAAAAAAAATAGAAATGGGGAACAGAAATCGATGAAGAGACCTGAAAGATCTTTAAAAAAAAAAAAATTGATATCATGCAATAGATACCCTAAAACTTTTAAGCAACTGAAAAATGAACCCAATGATTACACCAAGCATTCTAAAAGAAACCCAAATTGAGTTATTAAATAATATGCTAGCCCATGCAACCTTAAATAAAAAGGACTGCATGGTTTATTGACTCGTGAATGGGTCTTAGGAGTTACTGGTTTAACCACTGTAAAATATTTTTTATTAGAATCGATGGTTCTTGTGAAGAACAGTTTTGGAGCATTATAAAACTATTCTGGGACCAGGAAAGACATGGACCCCAAAAGTTTTTCCAGTTCTCTCTTCTCATTCTGCTTGCAATATGTAGCCTATAGCCAAAATTGTATGCTGTCCCCCAATTATATAGCTAAATGGGTTGTATTTGTCTTTTGATTCTCAGAAGGGTAGTATTTCACATTTATTGTTTGGCATGTTTAACAGTTAACTAATGAAAGGGGGTCTGACAGTTATATCGCCAAACCACAGGGCAGGTTGACCACATTATTTTTTTCAGAAGTTAAACCTCAGAGTGACTTAAGCAAAACCTCAAGGGGTATGAGAGTAATTTACCCTAAAAAATTATATGTTACCATTCTACCATGGAAACTTAATAAAAAACCAATTTTGACTATCTGTTATTCTTTGATGGCACGTCTTCATTGGGTTCACTTAATTATGTTGCTAATAATATTGGTTTTATCATTTAAACTCTCCAATTAATTTTGATATATTACTACATTACATATTAAATTAGAATAAGTATCATAAACATGCCAAATTATGTAACATTTTATAACCTTTTTTTTCCTTTTTAACAAGGATTTATCAGTGTTCACTTGTAAGTTATAATACCTTATGTATATACAGATATATTTATGTATATATATATTTTAAGTACCTTACACTTGATCTTTTAGGATGCTAAATATATTCAATTTTTGTACCAAATGTTTAAGTGAGAGAGTCCAATCATCAAAGTTTTATTTTTTTTTTATTTTTTTTATTTTTTTTTTTTTAAGGTTATGGGTACCAACCCAAATAGAAAAAGGTTTGAGTTGAGATGAGTCGGGTATGTACATGGCTGATTGTTTTAAAGCATAGGTAAGCCATAGAAATGTTATATGGCCAGCAAAAGAAAAAATTGTGATCCTAAAAACCAAGATAATTTTAATGTGTTTTTCAAGAAGAGTCTCTCTAGAGTCACGGTAGTCACCATGTTGGCAGTTTGGCACCCTAAGGTAAGTCTCTAGATCCAATAATAAAATAAAATAAAAATTCATACACTTCCCACCACACCAGATTTTGTGTGTTTATGTGTTAGAAAGAAATAAGATGAAATAACTAGGAAAAAAAAAGAAAAGAAGATGAATTAAATAAAGTTCACTAAATGCAACAAGGAATGTGCTAAATAAAGTAGACGGAATACTTCTACTAAATTTCTTTCTTGATCCATGTATGTACACAGTTTTGTGTAAATGTGTGTTGTATGTGTGCCCATTATAAAGACAAGACAGGCCTTGTACTTTATATATGCATTGTTTGTAATTTGAACGTTGAGATATAATACATATTTCAACATAGATTGAGATTTTAAAGAAAGCACATCTTATGCTGACATCATATGCTTCCTCACCAGAATTATATTTTCTTAAAATGACAGAAGATGATTTAATGTTACTAAAGTTCACCAAAATCAAAGCAAGATGAACTCACCGTAAGCGTTGCCAATTTGGTTTTGATTTTTGAATCCAGCAGTCACAGCAATACAAAGAATCATAAGGATCCAATTTATATCTGGAATATATATCTGCCCAAGGAATTTCTTTGATGTATGTACAACCTTGACTCTTGGAAAACAGCCAAGTGCAACAGCCTGCTTGATTATTGAAAAGCTAGCAGATATTGTGGCCTGACTTGCGACAATGGCAGCAAAAGTAGCAATTATGAACACTGGCCAGTATATGCTGTCTGCATAATAACGAATTGTCTCCATCAGTCAGATAAAATTATCCACTGCATATTTAGGTCAGCAGGTAGCAAAAAGGTGGGAATGGGGATTAAGGACCATTTTGACCAATAATGTTTAACATGTCGCAAACTAATCCCCTCATTTCAGTTCCCAGAATAAGTGTCCCTTTTTCCATTTTGTGATGTCACAAAATAAATGTCCCTGTAGAAAGGTCAATGTAAAAAATTGTATCATTATTTTATTTTATTTTTTTGATAAGTAAAAATGAATTAGAAAGGGTTCAAAAGGGGAACGCGTCCCTAGAGCTGTACAAGAATCAAAAACAAAAGGAAAAAAAAAAGGGAAGACCTATGGACCCAAAGACCCCAAAAAGTCAATGGTCTCCTCAACCGAAGAACAATCTCTCCCCATACCCCAACTAAAAGAGAGCAAATAATAGAGTCCTTTAAAACCCCAATGGGTAACTCCTCCCCAGCAAAGGATCTTCTATTACGTTCTTTCCAGAGGCACCACCAAACGCAAAGAGGAGTCGCCCTCCAGAAATCGCGAACACGAGCCCCCACCCTCTGCCCCCTCCAAATATCAATAAGACCCCAAGAGTATCATTATTGAATTATTCTTAAATTTTGAAGACTTTCTTAAGTTGAAAATGTACATTTTAAAGTTTTTGGAGGACCATTTTTGCTATCTCTAAGGGACACATGCAATAATTGCTTGTTCACTTAAAAAGTTGGAGTCCTTGCAGGGACCTTTATTTTTGGGTGGGGGGGAATGAAGGGAGTACTCAATAACATTATAAATTGTTTGTTTTATTTTTTAAAATATTCTGATAAATTCCAGTTTTCAAATTTATGCTCATTTTTTCCTCGATTGTATTCATTTTCTCCTCATATTCTCCCCCCCCCCCCCCCCCCTCTCAATCTCATTCAAAATTTTATAGGCATTTACTTTTGCCTGATTAACTACAGACAAATAAATATTCGCAAAGGTATATAAGTACTAAATCTGAATTACTTCAAGCAAAAACGGGGACCATAAATTTTGTCTTCCATAACATCTATAAAAGTTAAATCTTGCCTTTAACAAAAAGATATTACACAAGACAGGTTTTTTAAGCATTATTATTCTCTATAGCCCCCTCCTTCCTGCACTTCTCTCTCTAAAGGGACCACGGTACTTGCTAAATCATTGCTTTTTTAAATTTAATATCTTGGAGCTTACAAGTTAGAAGTGATCTGTCGGCTTCCCAAGAAATATTTTTATGTATATGATGATCTGGCGTCTGCTTTCTGTATTTTAAATGACCTCGTTTTAAACTTTTCATATTAAAGAAATGAAGCCTACAACTTTTTTTCAAGTTTCATAATGAACCTCACATACAGAAATTAAGCCTACAACAACTTTTCAAATTTCATAATGAACCTCACATACAATATATTCTATTTATAAAACAGACTCCACTTCAAACTTCTTATATTTCCAAACTTTACCCACTTCCAACTTCCTATAATTCAGAAATAACCTCTTCTCTCCCAATCTTACATAGTTTGAGAGATTCAGTCCAAGATATACAAACAAAGTTAATAGATCCAGCATCAAACAACACAAATTAGATTTCGATTTAGATTTAGGTGAAATAAAAAATAATAATAATAAATAATGTTGAGTTGAAAGCTTGGAGTGCTTTGGTCCAAGATCTAAAGCCAAAATCTAGTGTGTTTTGAATTTTTATTCAAAGATTAAGGATTTTGGGATTAGTTTCAAGGTTTGAGAAAGCTGATAAGAGAGAGCAAAAGTAAAAAATGGGTAGAAATGGCTACACGGTGTTAAAACAGCTGATTGGACAGTCCAACCGCTATGAGCCATATCAGCCCATCAGCCTGTGTCTGTCCAAGGCCCCACCACTGTACGATTCACTGCCAAGTCACCTGTGTTTCTTATTCCACTGAAATAACACGCTGTAATAAAAACATTTCAGGCCGAGGCTTTACAATGTACAACTCGGGCAAGCCGCCTTACATTAGTAAGATTTTAAATCATCTGTTCAAGTCCAAAGAGGAGCAATTACGTAATTAAAGTTGTTGCTATTTGAGGTCAATGTTATATTCTGTACATTGACTGGGATATAAAATTCCATCACACATATTAAGGGCCTAACAGAAACCTAGTTTACTTCCCCATGAAACCCTATTTAAGATTGCTGAAGGAACTTCAAATTTTAGCAAAACCCAATTAAAAATTTTGTCAAGCGTTTCCATAGTTGAAAATGTTCAAGACACACAACGATTAAAGGCAGACTCTTTTCACATTTGGGTTTTTCATATGCTGTCATAATAATTTACATCTACTTCGACACAACTTGCTATTTTTTACAAACAATTTCCAAAACCTATAAACAAAATTCAATCCCTGTACCATTTTTCCATATTCTTTCTAGGCAGTGCTTTCTTTTACCATTTTTCAAGCAGTTCCACCCCTATTGGTAATTATGGCCAAACGGCCACCAAGTAAAATGGAACAATGCAAAGTATAATAATATCAGAACAAACCTGGGATAGAACGATAGAACGCATCTTTCACGTGGTTTGGATTACTCATTAGGTACGCAGCTTGTCCAGAATAGGCTAAAAGAAGGCAAGGAAACACAACTACTGTGAAAGCAAGCTGGATAGCAGAAACAGGGAAATGAGCCAGGTCAGCAAACAGCGCCTCAGTCCCTGCACTAGTTAGTAAGCATCAGAATCCAATGCCATGCAAGTTTCCATGTTTCAGAAGATTATAGATCAAAAAACTAAATAAATTATTACCTGTAATACTAAGCATGATACCTCCGAGAGAGGTCCAACCGTCTTTCCCACCCCTTTGAAAATACCGATATATATACACAGGTGAAAAAGCTTTAAGAGCACTGCTGTCATATTTCCAAATATTGAATATGCCAATACCTCCTATTAACAGAAACCAAAGCAGCACAATTGGAGCAAAAAGCCACCCAACCTTATCTGTACCATAGTGTTGCATGCTAAACAAACCTACTAATATGCCAACAGCGACAAGCACAACTACATCTATACCACAGAAAATAAATTAATGTTAGACAAAAGGATTTAAATGCAAAAGTGAAAAGGAACTGAAATTAAAGATACATAAGGTGTTGCAAATATAGACAAGCAAATGGAAGAGAATGTTTAATTTCAGAGAAAAATTTACCAGTACTCATCTTGGGGTGGTCTACCTTGATTCCGCCAGCAGCTGAAAGAACTGCTAAAAATTTTTTAGTTAAGTATCTCATAATGTGGATTGCACACTAAGAATATATATATATATATATATATATATATATATATATATATATATAATATAAGAGAGAGACTTCGATGAAATTTTTATTTATTTATTTATTTTTTTGACAAGTAAGAGAGAGACTGATGAAATTATAGAGAAAAACACCCATCATTGGAATACTGAAAAGACTTTAACAATCAACATAACAGGAAATCTTCCAAATACGGTCCTAATAAAATGATAATATTATTTTCAAAAAAGAAGAAAAAAAATCCCACTCTAGCTTTTTCTCAGCTGATGCAAACTAATGCAATTTCTGCCACCTAGGTGAGCATGCCCTGGCTGATGGAAACCTTTCTTTAGGTGATACAAATTACCGTAAGACTAGAAAAAGTGTGAGAACTGGTAACCAACATTTGAATGACTGAAAGAGAGAGTGCTTGATTCACATGCCGAAACTGATCATAAGAACCCACTGACTACCAAAAGAAGCGTAACACCAGCATAGCCATTAACACCAGATGGATGGTCATTCTGTTTGCCACCTTGCCCGTATGTGAACATATCTTATATACCAACAGCTTATTTCTACCACGTCTCCTTGTGATTTTTCCTATGCTTAGTGAGTAAATCTATTACTACACATCCCAAATTAACAATGCACGTCGTGAATAACGAGATTAATAGAAGTTTCATAAATTCTTTCTGTGTCTCTCTGTCCACAAAAATCCTGAAACACAGACAGAGTTTTGAGTATTGGAGTGTTATTTTTCTAATAAATTCTCTTTCTACAGAACTTGTGGAATTACTAATTGCAATCCTCTTCAGGAGCACATGTTTCATGATTGCGGGTTGGAATCAATTGTGTGGTCACATCCGTTGCTGGAAAGGAATACATTGGCTGGCAGTTGGAACCACACAAAAACACACACACAAGGAAAAACAAATCCATTATGATAAGTGATGTGGCACTAAAAGCATCAAGTTAGAAAACTAATTTTTTTTTTTTTTTTTTTTGATAAGTGAAATGTATTAAAAGGCGTTCAAAAGGGGAACGCGTCCCAAGCTATACAAAAATAGAACCTATGATCTCAAGGAACCCAAAAAGTCCACAAGATCCTCAATGGAGGAAAAATCTCTCCCCCATCCCCAACAAAAAAGAGTACAAATAATAGAAAATTTCAACACCCCAATGGAGCCCCCACCCATTGGCCCCTCCAGATATATCCAGCAAGCCTAGAGATGTCCGAGGCATGACCCAATGAATACCAAACAGATCAAAAATGAGACTCCAATAATCATGAGCCACAGGACAATGTAGTAGAAGATGATCCACTGACTCCCCATTCAATTTACAAAGACAACATCGATTAACAATAATATGTCTTCGCTTCCTCAAGTTATCCAAAGTCAAAATCTTACTCCAAGCTGCAGTCCACACAAAAAAAGCCACCCTAAGAGGCGCCTTGGACAACCACACCGTCTTCCACGGGAAGGAAATGCCATGAAAACCAAAGAGGCACACAAAAAAAGACCAGACCTGGAACATCTCCTTAGAGGAAGGCACCCAAATCAGGGAGTCAACACCAATGCCCTCCACCTCCCGTCTGTACAAGAGAGCCAACAAGCCAGTGACATCATCCAACTCCCAATCCTGAAAAGATCACCGGAATCGCACATCCCAAGATAACCTCCCGCTATCAAGACAATAGCAATTGGCAACTATAGCATGTTTGTCAACAGCAATCCTGTACAGCCTTGGAAACAAAAGAGCCAGAGGCCTATCCTCGCACCAGGGATCCTCCTAAAACCGAACAAATCTTCCATCCCGAACTCTAAATGTAACATGTTTGGAAAACTCGTCCCATCCTTTTCCAATGGCCCTCCACACCCCTACTCCGCTAGCATACCTGACTGGCCTAGCTGACCACCCCCCTCTCCTCCCTAAAACGACAAGAAATAACCCTTCTCCATAATCTCTGTCTTTCACTGCCGAATCTTCGAAGCCACTTACCAAGGAGAGCACTATTAAACGGAGCCAATCTCCTAATCCCAAGCCCGCCCAACTAAAATGGCCTGCAGACCTGCTCCCATCTGACAAGATGATACTTAGACTCCTCTCTACAGCCCCCCCAAAGGAAATTATGTTGAAGCATCTCAAGACGTCCAACAACCGAGGCTGGAGCCCGAAAGAGCGAAAGAAAATATGTTGGGATGCTTGACAATATACTTTTCTCTATTGGCTTCGTTGTTTCGTTGTGTCATTGGTCGTGGTCTTGCTCATGAAAACGCTTGATTGTCAAAAGTTGTCTTATTTGGAGGTTGCCTGTCTTCCTCGTCTGGATTTGAAAGGGGAGGTGGAACGATTTTCTTCTTAGAAGGATCATGTGTTTAGGGTGGATAATCTCAGCACTTCCTCTCGCGAACAGGTTCTTAGGGCTTGTCTTGTTGGGCGTTTTAACAAAGAGGTGGGATCCTTGGAGGAGATCGAAGATTGGGCCACGAAGACCTGGTTGATTTCGGGCGGGGTTAGGGTTAACTCCTTGCCGGACGGGTTGTTGCTATTCCGGTTCCCGTCGGTGTTGGGGGCTCATAAGGTCCTTGATTGGGGCAAGAAAGTTTGGGGTGAGGCTTAGCTCTTCATCGATCTCTGGTATTACAGGGTAGGGTGCTCCGGTTTGAGGTTGAGGAATAAGTTCCGGCGAGTCATTTTGTACGGTCTGCCGCCGCATCTTTGGTGCCAGAAGCTTTTTGTTGCCATTGGTGATGTGTGTGGAGGTTTTCGGGAAGTGGAGGCTTTTGAGATGAGTGACACGGAAAGGATTATGATCACTGTGGCTAACGGTGGTGTGATTCCGGCGAGTATTGTGGTGGAGGATGGTTAATGGGCTTTCAGAATCTCGTTATCTGAAGAAATAGCTTCGACCATGGTCCCGCTGACTGGAACTAACTCCGGAAAAGGTGTCTCGGGACCAACGGCGACGTCGGCTACCCTTCGTCCGGTTCGCGGATCCGGTGGTGGAGGTAGATCTAAGCCGAAGCTCCAAAAGGTGGAGGTGCAACACAGTCGGACTCAAGGTTAGGGATGTGGGAGACGCCACGCGTCTCAGGCGCGTGGTAGTGGAAAGGAAACTCCTGTGACACGTGGTTAGAGGAGAAACGATGCCTGTTCTGAGTGGAAGACAGCTGCCTCTTCACGTGACGAGCCACGTGATTTTTGGTGATTTTTGAATTTCAATTCTTTTGGGCCTGATGGGATTGGGCTTTCTCAACATGGGGCTCATTTGGAGGGTTCGAAAGGGACTGGGAGAGATAAGCATGCGTGAAGTGGGCCTATGTCATCTTCTGGGCCGGGGCGGCCCTTAAAGCCCGTTAAGAAGGATGGCTGCCTCAAGCTATCTGGGCCTATTGTTGTTGCTGGAACAGCCCAGGTTAAGCCAAAATTGGCTAAGGAGAGGGTGGTTAAATGGGGCCCTAACAAAAGCCTTTCAATTTCACTTCAAGGTGGGCAGCCCACTTCAGGTTTAAATCACAGACATTCTTTTCATGATCCTCATCAGGACACGTCTCAGAAAAGCTCGGCATCACATTCTTGGTCGAGGAGAGATAAGGCGAACTGGGCGAAGATGAGCTTGAGCATGACGAAGGGGGATGGGGTTTGTCCGAAGACTTTCTGGCATTGATCGTGCCGTCAGAACCGGCTCTCTGGTAATAGATTTGACCTTCTTCAGTCTGGGTTTTTGGGTGATGATGAAAATGGAGACTGTGAGTCCACGAAGAAGGAGGGTCTCTCTTGGAATTCTTTGAAGCAACCCAGAAAGAAATGGACCAGAAAGGACAAACAGAAGTGGGTCGCCCGTAAGGATTCTCATTCGTGTCCAAGTAAGTCCTCTTCTCATGTGCGGAACTCTTTATCAGTTTCTCTTTTTACTTCTACTCCTCCTTGTGAAGTGTTGAGAAGTAAGGGGGAGGAGAATTTTGCTGGGAGGCAGCAGATGCTGTCGCCTGTTCTAGAGGGTGACTCGGTGGATGTGATGAGCTCTGCGGCTGGTTCTGAGTTTGGGGATGTTGGGCCGTCAGAAAGGGATGGGACGGTTTGTTTGTCTGGCGACAGGGATTTCAACCGGTTTTGTGCCGGGGTTGCTGTGACATGCTCGGAGTTTTCTTCCGCGTCTCAGTTTTATGATTCCTCAGGGGAGGAAAGGGGAAGGTCGGCCAAGCGTCTTTTGAGTGGATTGGCAGGGTCTTGTTCTCCTCTGAAAGATGGTCCAGTGACTTGTTTGAAGGATTCTATGCCTGATTTGGTGACTGTTTGTGTGGGCAAAGATATCCGTTTTTCCCTCAGTGATGAATCAGCCTCTCTTTTGGTAAAGGAGCTGCAGAAGCACAGATTTTCGCCTGATGATCAAATTGTTGACTGCAATCCGGACCCTTTCATCCGGGATGGGGTTTTGGATTATGGTGAGGACTGGTCTTCTCATGTTGAAGAGGCAGTGGTGGACAAGGAAGGTGAGGGAGTTGGGAGTAGGTCTCTTGATTTGATGTTGTGGAAGGAGGAGGGTCATGTTAACTTGGGGGTGCTGGACCCATTGGCCATTGTTCTTCCAGAGGACTTGGGCAATAAGGAGTGTAAGCAGGTTGCTGAGGATACTGGAAAAGAATGGGTCAAGGCTAATATTGGGACCACTAGCGAACTTCTGGGTGTCTCTAGCAAGGGCAATCGGGATTAGGCCTTAGCAATCCTTCAGGCCACGGCAAAGGAGAGAGAGGGGGAGATGATTCAATTCTCCAAAAGGAGAAGCCGGAAGAAGAAGATCCTATCTCTGTGGAAAGGGGAAAGGGAGCTTAGGAATCTGTGTTCTAATGTGAATTATGATAGGGTGACTGAGGGGGCGAAGGAGAGGGGGAGTATGAAGGGAGGAGGGAGGCGTAAGGGGGTGAGTGTTTCCTTATGAAGCTACGATTATTATCTTGGA